AGTTGCCAAGGGACGAAAACCCAACCCCGATGACAAACACCGGGGGGGGGGGGGGGGGGTACTCATAGTCGTGCATGCCGTAGTCGTTTGACCATTGACCTCGCATCCCTACAAAGCCGGGACGGAGCACGCCGGGTTCTCACCGGACCAGGCTCTCACATCACCAAGCGCGAAGCGCCGTGAGGTATTTGGCGAGTCGCATGAAGGTTGAGCTGCATCCTGCTAAGGGTGTTCGGCATCTTGTGCTTACTTCCTTGCGTACGGATGACAGCTACGTATGACTTAAATTATTTTCTGGTGCTTTCACTTCCAGAGACAGTTGTAAGCACTGTGTAACTGCCTCGAGGAAGCTTGACCATTTTAACACAACGTGGTGCGATCATCCCCCGTTGCGCGGAGCGAGGTTTCTCGACCCCGCACAACATGATCTACTCGACCACCATTATGGTTACCGCCAAAAAAAATAACCAGAGGTAAAAAAAAAAAGACGGTAACCTGGTTGCCAAGTTCACGAAGTGAATTGGCTTGTTTTACAACGTCGTTGCCAATCGACGAAAACCCAATCCCGATGGCAAACACCGAGTGGGGGGCTTGTTTTACAACGTCGTTGCCAATCGACGAAAACCCAAACCCCGATGGCAAACACCGGGGGGGGCGGCTTGTTTTACAACGTCGTTGCCAAGCGACGAAAACCCAACCCCGATGGCAAACACCGAGGGGGGGGGGGGCGCTTGTTTTGGTGGATGCGTGAAAATCAAAATCGTGTTTGCCCAACTGGGGTATTGATCTCAACAAACAAGCTACCCGAGCATTGTTTGGATTTGCTGGGGATTCGGCCTTCCCGAGCACAAAGCCCTACCCTTGGCCATTGCTCAGGATGTCCACCGCAAGGATATGTCGTTTTCTAGTGAATGTCTTAAACCTGCGGGCATTACTTTAATGTCTTCTTTAACAACTGCGAACACCGAAAAAACGTGCTGAAACTGGCAGCCCCTACACATAACTTGCTCTTTCAAAACTACGACCACGCAATGCAGTCACGCTAAGGTCGCCAATCGGCAGGACTGGTGGGCATGGGGCATGTGCCCCCGCGGCACAGTAGCCCTAGACGTCGCTTGTCAGTAAAGCGTAAGGTGCGGCAAACGTACATACCATGTTGTATCACACTGCTGTGTTACCTACAAATAGCCACAAAACACACGCCATGTATAAAAAAAACACAAAGCTGAACATGTTCCCTCGAGCTTTCAAAAATACACAAGTAACGTTTGCCTCTAACGAACACTCCCTCCTGAGGACACTTTGCGGTTCACTGCAGCCATGCTATACTTTCAACCCTGATTGTCGGGCGGAAAGGGGTGTTTTCCGGCGGGAACCCATTCTACTCGCTGGCACCTCGCAACTCGCAAATGCTTCCAGGAAATCAGCCCCGATACTACTCTGTTGTTGCTCAGCAACATAGTTAGGAATAAAGGGGAAGCGGGGGGAAGGGGCAAGTCTAAAAGTCTAGACCGGCAAACGCTCCGCTTGCTCCGCTGCGCTTCGGTATCAATGTGCTCCGCCTCCTTTTGAACGGTGGCATCCCGGAGTCCCCCCCCCCTGAACGCGTCGCGCGGCTGTTCGCGTGCGTAACTCGCACCTCACAGCGGTCGTTCGCAATCTCTACCACACTACTACCGTTGTTCACGCCAGTCTCTACCACTACCGTTGTTCACGCTACCGACGTCGATGGTGCTCCCTCCCGCTAATCCTATATCATGTTGCCTCGCAAGCGGTTGTTACCCCAACCGACACAATACCGCCCAGGCTTGTTGGCACGGCTGTTGCAGCGCCTTGATGTACAGCTGCTGCCGCATCTTTACCCCTCAAAATTGCTGCTGCAGCCTGCGACGCTTCGATCGCCCTTGGTGACCTCAACGCTTTTCCCTAGACGGGTCACAATTACGTGTACGTCTGAAGCGTAGCGGGATTTCAATCCTCGGGACCGCAGGATTATCACCACCCGTAGGGCCGACGTTCTTCCGAACCTTCTTGCCAGAGCTTACGGAAGAAAAGAAACGGGAAAAAAGAGAGATGGACAGACGGAAGACCCGGCGAATAAACACGACGTTGGACGCAACAACGAAGAAACACAACTGATTTTTTTTAACCGCAACAGACGGAGCCGTGAACACGCACGAAAATAGAGTACGTCTCCCGGCGAAGGAGAGATCCTTTGCTGGAGAGTGCTTACAGGCCGCTCCTGACAAAATCCCTTTCTTGGTTGTCCGTTTTTTACCGTCTCACCTTAGGACGACTGTTTTGGATGTCCGACTTCTTGCACTGCAGTCAATCTTTTCGAGGAAATCCGAGTCATCGACCACAAAAAAATCTGCAACGGCCGTTAGAATCTTCACCGATCACATGTAAACTTGCCACCGATTTGTTTTGCGGTTACTCCTCCTCCTCACAAACTGAAGCAAGGTCATCCCCCCCACGAATTGTGTATATGCTGCGTCTCGTGTGGCGGCAGATAGAGACCACGGGGAGATAGGAGGCACGAAAACTGAGGCGGCGAGACTCGAGAGCAAGCGACAAAACAAAAGACCGCGGGGTCGCCTCAACAAACAATTTATTTTCCCTCTTGAGCGTTCCGCTTGATACATGATTGGGGGGACCTTTTCTCCCAGCATGCAAACACCGTCGATAGCCTCTCCCTTGTGCTTACCTCACGGTTCTCGATGCCGGTGTCCGAATGCCGCCGTTGCTGTCGCTGGTGCAGGTAGCCGTGGCGCGGCTGCTGCTGCTCGTGCAACTGTTGCTGCCGCCGGTCACGCCCGCCATCGCGGCTTGAGGGATGTGCGACCTGCTGCCCCTGCCCCACCCAAAGAGATAAAAAGAAAGAACGGGTGTGCCAAGTACGATCTAAACTCATTTCCCTCGGCTGTCGATACATAGATACTTGTGTCGTAGACAGAGGTGGTCTATCGCCAGGAGAGGGACGATAGCAGAATTAACAACAGCTGCGGCATCAACATCAACGGTATCAACAGCAACTATCAGCGCTGAAACAGCTGCAGGAGGTGTCTCGTTGTGCGCGCCTCCCCGTTTCTGATGAAGCAACAACAAACAGAGATCTTCGAAGCGTTCGGCCGTACCACAAGAGCGTGGTGCCTATCGTAACACAAAGAGCAATAGCTCTGTCGCAACCTTTCCATAACCATCATACAACCTTGCAAGCGAAACAAATTGAAAACAGCAGCAACAAGAACAGCGCCACCGAACACCACACCACAGCTTGACGGCGCGCACCTTCTTAGCACGGCAATACCACACGACACATCTTCTACCACATTGGCTCAACTACCGAAAAAAAAAAAAAAACAGGACACCCGCGCCGACAAACAGCACTTTCGACCAAAAAATACACACGCACACAAACTCATGGGCCAAAGCTGCTCACTTCGTCGCCGACCGGAAAGCCGTCCTCCCTCAAAAACACGCCGGCCGGGGCCGCACCGCGACGGCCCTTGCTCCGCTCCCCGCCAGCTTCCATCAACCGCCGTCTCAGTGCCACAGCGGAAGAAGCTCCGGGATGCCAGTACGGCACGCCGTGCTCGTGCGGCAACGGCACCGCGGGCCCCTCCCTGTCCCCGCCCCACTCCCCCCCGGCGCCGTCCTCACCGCTCCCGCTCCAAGCCATCCCGCCGCCGGCCGTCGCAAACGCCTCCTCCGCCGTCGTCTGTCTCCTAGTCTCCATCGGGACTGTGGCCGGCGCCGACACCCGTCCAAACATTGCAGCTGGTCGTGTTCTCGTTGGCAGGGTACCCGCTGTCTCCGGCCGTCGTCGCCGCACCGCTGCTCCCGACGACAAGAAAGATGCTGCACCGCGGCTGTCCCGGGCGTTGTACGGTGGCGGGGAGGTCGGTGCCGCTGTGCTTGTTGTTGTTGTTGTTGTTGTTGGCGTTCTCGGGTCCTCGGCTTGCGGTGTTAGTCTTTCCTGCCGCAGTCGTTGCTGCCGCGCCGACGCCGGGGGGCTTCTCAAAGGAGAAGCGTGCAGGGAGGTGGACGAGCGCCTCCGCTGCTGATGCTGCTGCTGCTGGTGTTGCCGCTGGAGGTGCACCTGCTCGTGCTGCTGCTGCTGTTCGTGCTGGTGTCTTCTAGCGTGGAGGGTCTTGAGCGCTGTGAGCTCCTGATGCCGTGTGCAGAAGCGGGCGAGCGGGAAGGGAGAGGAGCGTTTCATGCAGTGGGGGGAGGACACATGGGCGAAACGATACGTGACGATTACTGTGCATGCCACACACGGAACAGCAGAGCTACCAAACAAGTCGATACCGGGTGAACAACCGGACAACCCACCGGCGATCGTCATCAACACGTCTCCACACGAAGTCAAAGAAAAGGAGCCGATGTGATTGCCCCAGAACAACAACGACCAAAGCGGAGCCGCTCTCCACAACGGCAACGCCACAAGGTGGACATAGCAGTGGCTCGGGGCGACTCACACTAACGGGTTGATGGACGACCAACACATCTAGCGAAGCACTCAAGAAATGCTATTTATAGTACCTAGTATTTTTTTCGGGGCACCGGGTACGAAGAAAAAAAAAAAAAACGCTAGACCATTTGTTCCAAGGTACACAAAATGAGCACCTGAGATCTATCATACGATGCCGACACTCCGACGTTCGATTGATCCTACAGCACCACGGGACGCCGCTCACTGGTCGAGGCAAGACTACGTTGGGGGTTGAGTGTTTTCGTTTCGCGACTTGTTTGGCCTCGCATGATGCACAGCAGCTAGTGGTGGTGGTATCCATGGCCACGATGATACCGGAGAAAACGGAGCAACGCAGACTGGAAGCCCGGAAACAAGCACAGGACGATAAACACCCTACTTGTATCGACGAGCAATCTTCCCCCCCGCACCCCCCCTTTCTCTCTCTCTCTATCTCTCTCTCTCTCTCTCTCTCTCTCTCGCTCTCTCTCTCTCTGCGTGTGTGTGTGTCTCTCTTTCTCACCGCCTTGACCTCTACCAGCGCCTCTCTGGTCTCGTGCAACTCCTTGACCACGGCTACGTTCCGCGCCTCCATCTCGTCGCGTTCGCTCGCCAGTGAGTTATTTTCCACCGCCTTGATACGTCGGGGATCAGGCAGAAAGAAAAACTGCAGCTATGAGACACAAGAGGTGCATACACTATAGTAGGGCAAGGTGACGCACGCATCTTCCGAATCCGAGAAAAAGTGAGTGACATATACGTTTTTTGTCGAGCAAGTGCAATGTAAACACGGCAAATCGCGGATTATCCGGCAGGTTGAGACCCATGAAATAAAACTCTGCCGAAAGTCAGCCAAGTCGAAAACGTGCACGAGGTAAATAATGTTGCTGAATAGGAGTACGCTATCTCGTTTCGAAGATAGCCAGGCGACTCAAAAGTGCCGCAGCAAGAAACCCGGCTGGACAGAGCGCGCACAACTAGCAGCTGCCACTATTGTTGAAATATGGGAGCATGCGATCCGAAACCATCCACCTTGCCACGCTACGCAACGTGAACTGACACATCCGTGAAAGAAAACGTCAGCTAATCCTCTGCTTTTGACGTGCATCGTATCCGAGCAGCAGCGTGCTTGTCAGTGCTTAAGGATTTCGACGGCGTACAGGCGCACGACCCATGCTTGTTCCCGTTCTGCCTGTGCACAGCGGAAGACTCGCAGCGGTGCTTCTTGGAAAACCAAACTGGCGCTGCCGGGTAAATAAGCGCCAGTGAAATCGCCCCGGCATAAATCGAAAAACAGCAGCAGTACCCGGTGGCTCTGAAGAATGCTGCTTGACGGTTGGTCGGGCCCACAAGCGCGGGACCACGACTGTACACACAGTTTGCTTATTTCATCCAAATTGCATCTACCGCACCCCCGTTTTGGTTGCTGTTCGTGGGACTGGCGCACGCTCGCTTGCTGAAAACTTTGCTCACCTGTATCAGGTTTTTCCGGTGTGCTGCCTGAGCCTGGCCGTGTTGGCATAGCACCGCGGCCAGAGCAGGAAGAAGAACACCGACGCCGTCATCGTGAGCGTGCGCCCGCCGCCGTGACGGCACGACAACCATCGCGGTAGGACGGACGGCACGACAACCATCGCGGTAGGACGGACGCGGCGGAGGTCCGAAAACGATCGGTCGCAGACGAGCGTGTCAGAAGGGGAGAGCTTCAGATCTGAGTCGTCGGTGCTGCTGCTGTATGCAGGAGCTTGCGTTCGCGGGATGATTGTGTCGTCGCCACATACATGAGCGACAAGCTGCTGCCGAAGACGCCGCACGGACCGGTCCGCAGAACACCGACACGTTTTGTGTAACCTAGGGACGTTCACATTTGCCGCTTTCTACCCCGAAAAAGACACCCCAGAGGAAAGTCACGAGCACTATCGCCGCACAAGCATACATAGACAAAGTTTCGTGACAGCAGCATCTGTCGCGAACCGACAAGCGTGAGGCCCGCAGAGCAACGCTCACGTCGGACGCATCAAGCACAATCCCGGCTTTGGCCGGACTTGTACAGCAGGGGGGAGGCAGAACAAAAACACGTCTGGTAGCACGCCGTCACTGGCGTTGCGTCTTCAAATAAGGCTCGGATGGTCCGGCCGAAGAACATCGCGCACAGAACACGCGCTGTCTGCGTGAAAGAACATTTAATGGAGCGGATATATCCGACGTGAAACAGCACACCGTCGTTTTTTCGTCCGCAATCAAGCATGAGCATACTCCACCACTGGAAAAAGAAAAAAAACATCTTAGTTCGGATTCTGTTGACCGCATGTAGACTGTTGTTGTCGTTGTCGTTGTCGTTGTTGTTGTTGTATTCACATTAAAAACCGTTCCCGTCTCCGCTCAGTACGTTTTACCTTCTTCTATCCGATACTTTGTGAAAAAAATATGTACGCAAAAGCAACATTCCCGTGAGGAGCTTCCAAGCAAGAACGTCTTGCTACAGAACTAACACCTCTTGGACAAAGCTCCGCATGACAGCGCTAGTTTGAGGCAACCTTCGACGACGACAACAACAACAGCAGTCGTAACATGCCTGATGCAGCACGGTGCGGTAGCTCTTGAGGGACGTCTCCGCCTTGCCCTTCCACATCGCCACCGCTGCCTCAAGCCTTGTTCATTGGCCAAAGCAGCACCAGAGCGTCGCCCGAAACAACAGCGAGAAGCGTGCAACGCCGGCCAGAACACGCCGTATCGGGAAAAACACAAACGCACATGAATAGGCAAAAGAGGGGTGTACACAACGGGGGGGCGGGGTGGGGAGATGTAGTTAACAGCTACCACACAGCGAAATGGCGCATTTCATTGCTTCCGGGGCACGAAAAAGAGAGAAAGAGATGTAGAACAGACAAGGAGAGGGAGAGAGAGACACAGCGGCAGAGAGACAGATGGCCCGGTTTCCTACGGAAATTTCGCAACACGCACCCATTCGTATCGCACATATCTAACGAGGCAGGCAGCACAACGCGTGACCATCGTCCCCACAGCAGTAGCAAAGCTCCGCCGAAAAATCTCGACATCGGGACTGCTCTGTGGTGGGTACACCCCCACACCGCTCAGCACGCGGCGAGCCTCCAAAAACTCTCGACAAAAATCGGAAAAGAGTGGATCACCTCGTCTTCGCATCATCCAACGCTTCCTCGGGATCTTCCCCCGGCACTCGCTGCTCCTGTTCTTGTTGATGGTGCTCGTGCTCTCGTGGCCGCAGCTGATGCTGTTGCTCGCTCGGCGATCCCAGCTGCGACAGACCCCCGTTCAGCAGACGAACCAAAGCCGCGCCGTCGAGAACTCCGTTCTGCTGCTGTTGCTGCTGCTGCTGCTGCTGCTGCGACCCCGAAAGCTCTCGTTGTTGTTGGCGTAGCTTCCGTTGTTCGAGCAGGTGCAGCCTGTGCATCCTGTCGGCAACCGGCGAAGGAAAGGCGTGCCGTGTTGTGTTGCTTCCGCATAGCGCTGTTTCCTTTGTACATGGGACTGCAGCAGTCCCCCGAGATTTGCACGGCGTTTCACTGTATGTCAGGTCGCGCTCAGCAGGCCGGGTCGGGTTGACACGTGACCTGACCCGTCAGATTTCACCCAGCACGGGTCATGACCCGACCTGACCTGTTGCGTCTATGAATGACCCGTTGCATTGCATGCTCGGGGTGAAACCCCAGCTCACGTACGGCATGGCCCTACCTGACTTGATCTGAACCGTCCTGACTCAGCAGACTCGTCAGCTCTCCTCTCATTTGACTGGATTCTGAACCAACAAACTTGCAATTTTCTACGTATGAATGTCAAACTTGTGCTGGCCTGGCCTGGGGGTTGGTTTATGACCCAAGCAACGCCGTTCTAATCTTACACAAGTACTTCGAAGTATCCACCTCCCCACAGGTCTTCTTGTGTTCCGAACCGAGGAGGTACTTTTCAACCCAGGGTCACGCGTATTTGTTCCCTTTGCGGTGCTTCGACAAGCGGCATGTACCCCGCTGGTGTCCACAACCGGGTCAGACTGGGGCACTCTCACTTGGTGTTCTACCAGTACTGTAAGCCATCGATTCGACCCAAAAAATACCTGTACAACTCCCGCGCCTGCGCCGATTTATCCTCCGTCGCTCTTGTGTGGCCGCCAGGAAACCCGCCGGCAGAAGCGCTTCCTAGGACGCCGTTGCTGCCGGGCTGCTGGGTTGATGCGCGTGCCGAAGCAATTTCTCGCCTATTTAACGCGAGCTGGCGCTCCAAGATTGCCACCGCTGCCTCTTTTGGCTCGTAAACCCGCATGTTTGACGTGTCTCTTCTTATCAGGGGGTGGGCGGGGTAGGGAAGGACGAGGACACGTGACCGAAGAGCGAGGGAAGCGACAGAGGAACCGTTGTTGAAAGGGCGAGGGAAGCGGCAGCGGAAACCGTTATTGAGAGAGAGATGCATCCCAAGACTTCTTTGGGGCGGGGGCGGGGCCTCTGCAGTCAGTTCCAAGTCGAGTAGAGGTGTTCACCGAAACAAAAAAAACTCATTTCCGACGTCGCATATAATTTCGGCTCCGTTGTTGTTGTTGTTGTTGTTGTTGTTGTTGTTGTTGTCTTCACATTGCTGGACAAATTGCACACATCCTGCGTGCGGTGGCATCATGACGGCAAGAAGATAGGATTGCAAAACGGCAGAGATACCGGCCGAGCGTAGGGGGTGCTGGGGATGGATGTGGTGTGGTGGTGTTTGTGCCCTGCCTGCGTCCCGAGCGTGAGCCAAAAACACCGGGGCGACGGGTTCAACCACGGTCGTGTGCCCGCATCGATTGGGTGGTTCGGCTGGGCTGGCCCCCTTGGGAGAGAATGAGGACTGCCTACGCAAAGAAAGCAAGCTATTTTTTTACGAAAAAACAGACCAGGCAGGGGGGCACGCAGACTCTAACCCCCAACTTAACCGATTCTATACTCTGCCCAGTATGTTTGCCTACTGCTGTACTCAGAAAAACCTGCGCAGACTGTTGGAGACCCACGGAATCTAAAATCGCACGTCTGCCGTATGGTTCTGCATGGTGCGGGATTGTTAATTGTTGCTGTTCGGTTGGTTGAGGTTCGCTGGGCTCTTCGAGTCGAAAACGCGTCAGTTGCGTGAGCTGTTGAGCTTGGGAAACGTGACAATCGGCATCTGGCCGCTACCGCTAGCTGTGGAGCTGTGGCCTCGTCGTGCTTCCTTTTCTTGCCTTACATCACTTTTGATGACACTGCTGATCTCATGATGAGCCCACTCCGCAGATCACTTGTAGTATGCACGCAGTATAAACAACGCGGAACACGAGTTACTTTCTTAAGGCAAACGCTATTTTGAAGGCATCCAGTTCACCCCCCTACGATGGTGAAGGGTGCGTCAACAACTATTTAGAGTAGTCTCCGCAAGAGGCCTCAACAAATCCAAACTTGCATCAAATGATCCATTCCGAGGAAGCGAATATCCTTTGAGTGCAATATATGGGCCATCTTCCGCTAGGAGGGCATCCTGGATTGATCCCTACGCTCTTGCTCACGAAGGTTTGCGGAGCGCTGTCTCGAGGGGGGTATGCATATGTATCCTTCGATGGTGTGCATACTACTTGTATAACCCCGTCTCTGGTACATGTATGTACAGTCGCGAGACGGGGATGGGCCACGTTCATCGGTGTTCATCATGTGTGGTGAAAGCTGCTGGTGCAAGCGCTCACGGCAGGCGGTCCACTACCATTGTTGAGTCCATATTCTGCATCGCTATCGAAGATCGAGGCGAAGCAGCAGCAGCCGATACGGCGGGCGCCCACAGGCTCTTACTCAAGCGCGCACCGCCGCAGATGCTCACCACACGAACGTAAAACGCCGCAAACACCACCAGCAGGAGCAATCCTCCAAATGACCTACCTCGAGTATCCCGCGAAGGTCTCCAAAGGCAACCCCGGTGCCCCTGGAGAGCTGGATCGGGCCGCGGCTGCTTCTGCAACGGCAGGGTGGTCGACGTCCCCACGCGGCCCACCCTTTTGTGTGGTCAGGGAATCGCTCGGTCCCCTCTCGTGTGTGCCTGCGCATCGACCGTGTGTGTGTGCCGACCGCCTGCTGGGCACAAGCAAGTAGTCGCGTGTCGAGGATCACCTATGTAAAGACCCCCCTACCAACGGCAGCGGTGCTTTTGTCGGCTGATTGGAGGAAGCAGCAGCGCTAGCTTCCAGCTCGGTGCGGGCGGGGTTGGAAAAGGTGGCGTATCTCGCGGAAGCTATTACGCACCAGATTGTTGAAGAACGATCAGCAAGAAGTGCAGTAGTGCCCGGGGATGGAAGACTCTGTTGTGCACGAGATCGTTGCCTGCTCGCGAACCTGGGAACCTGGGGAGAGAGGATCCGCCGCATTCAGAACAATTTTCAAAATCTTCCGGGGTTCGGGGGCCGGGGGTTGCGTTATTTTTCCCACCGTCGGTCGTATGTTGTCCGTCGGAGGGTCCAGTGCGGTCACCGTGGGAGGGGTATGTCCGACTGTTTTTGCTCATGGCAGAAGGAGAGTAGGCACGCCTTCCACGATTCTGGGCATCTCTCCGGTTCTCGCACGCGCTATTACGTAGGGAGAGAGCGTATGCATATGCATACAACAGACTTTTGTATGGGGTCGGCAAAATGAAAAAATGTGCATGAAATAAGCTCGCGATCCTGAAACGGGCGGCGAGCGAGAAGCAGCAGTAGTCTACACACAGCAGACCCGACGACAACAGCGCAGCAGTCGTTCTCCTTGTTCACGAGCGAGTTCATGCCACATGAGGGGTGAGATACATCCCTCAAGGAGCTATACAATTGTATGAAGGTCGAGATCTCCTTCAATTAATTGGAGATACTATAATAATAAATAAATACAGACTACAGCAAGCAGCAGTGGACGTTGTGTCCGTACAATGCATAGTCTAGACTATTTATGTAGTGTCTCTGCTTTTGGCCTACAGATGATATGTATGGACGGCTCCTATGATCCACGGGTGTATTGACATTCGGACGCACATCCGGACAGGTTCGTCGTTCAGAAAGCGAGGGGCTTCGTAGATATTCTGTAGGTAGATAGATAGATGCCCAGGTGTTTTTGAAAGCAAAGGTTTGCCGGGGTGAACAATGAATGAACTCGTGTTTGTGGTCACAACTCTATTACAAACTGCACAACCCTTTTGGTGGGGCAGTTGGCTTGTCGTGGCGTCCGCGTAAGTTGGACCACGGACATTTTTAGAAGGTACTGAGCGGAGACCGGAACGGTTTTTAATGTGAAGACAAAAACAACGACAACAACAACAACAACCGAGGGGTGTTACAGCATACTGCCTACAGTAGTACAGATAGATACATCATGGCTCGTTTCCCAAAAATTGACAATAAAAACGAACACCTGTGATGATTAGTGTATACACCATAGCCCGTTACGTGATACATATAGAATAGCATCAAACCGCTAAACCAAAACCCTAAATCATCTGCCACGCTTTTATCTACGGTACGTGGTGGCTTTCCATTGATCGTGTATTTAGATGCAAGAAGAAGCCGAGCTTCGGCGACTCAAATGCGGCGTTCTGTAACCAAGTTTAAAAGATTGGCCAAGGGCAGGCCGTTCGCTCCCCACACCCTGGCCATCTCCCTCCCTCGTCATCCCTTCGCATACACCTACTACGTACCTCAGCTTTCGAGCATGAAGTTCGGCACGGACTTTTGTATTCATTCGTTGAGGGAGCCGGAGGGAAAAAGGATTGCCCTGTCGCTACAAAGTGAACGTCCTCTTTCGTGTGTGGCCGATTTATCGTGTGTGATTTGCACCCGTTCATTAATGCTAATCAATCACCATTGATGCTGCTTGGAAGTCGTCCCACCACAGATGATAGATGCAGGTTGATGCTGCTTTCCTTTGATCCCCTTGGCCGTGCTTTCCTATCGCCTTGTATGGACACATGTACACCATGCAGCCGGAATCCAATACAAACCCGACCCAAGTGCAACACCTACAACACACGCACATTGCACAGCAGGGCACATGATGACTCGGAATAACTCATGAATCTTGACATGACGTCACAACACAACTACTTATGAAAACACCAAATGACGATTGTAACGCACCATCACATGGCTACCTCCAAATACCGTAACACTATCCCACTCTTCTTGGTGGTCGGTCGTAGATACACTTACAGAAGCAAACCTCGGAGGAATCTAGTCTATAAGAGAGGTTGTTTAGGGGATGGGTCGAAGATGCAACGACTCAAAACCCTCACCCGGACCTCTACGACGTTATCGAAACGAAGGAAACGGAACAAAGGAGTCAGTGATGACAGACTCGGTGGATAAAATCGGGGGAAAGGCATGCGGAGTGCGAAAACCAACCAAATCGTTCGAACCGAGAAGACCATGATAATACGATGTTGTAACGAAATCACGGATGTGACCAATAACGCCGCCAGTGTAGCGTGATTTCCACCTCTTCGCTAGAATCACCTTGGTGGTGTGTGGAACTCGTCCGACCACAGGTGCAGGTTGTTTCTGCTTTCCTGTGTTCTCCTTGCACGCAACTGAAATTCTGTCGCCTTGCATGTACACCATGCAGCCGGAATCCAACACAAACCCGACCCAAGTGCGCCACGCACACCGATTAGAAGGGCACCATGACTCGGAATAACGGAATAACTCCTGAATCTTGCCATTGTAACGTCACAACACAACTTCTAACAACGCCAAGTGATCATGGTAAAGCACAATCACATGGGCTACGTACCTACACACAATACAACCACCTACTCTTCGATCACATGTTTTCAGTCTAAGGAGACGCCCCGAAAAGACCAATCAGGCCACGACTACCATGTTTGCGGCCCTGGGCTCTTGCAGTACCTCCTCCGTAGGCGAACAGATCAAAACATATGACGGACGTCGTGGTGATATGCTTTGATCATCGTATAGCCGAGCGTCACGCATGAGGTACCATGGAGACTTCACCATGATGAGGTGTAGCTCCAGTTGGAACAACGATTGGTCAAAATGGCCTCCTGAGAACCTCAAGATAGACTACGTGGTATACATACAAGCACCCAACGAGAAGGGGATTGGTCGGCCTTCTCGATGGTTGGAACGCTTCCAGTGAATGGAGAATTTTTTTCTGGTCAAATCCAGCGGCGTAAATGATGAATGAAGTCTTTACTGGGGAGGGGGGCTGTGCTCTTGAAGAGGAAGCCGCCGAAACAGGGGACAAGCTGGTCTACTATTGAAATACTTACACAGACTACCCTAACCTGCACACCGACGATTAAATCTCTCCTGAAATTGAAGTCGACGCCATGTACGCCATACAGCACTATCAATTACTTGGAGGAGAAACTGGCGGCATCGGTGATGGCACCGAAGAGGAGGTGTCCTCCACAAGCAGGGGTATAGTTTCGCAGCACCACCAAAGCCTCTGACTTGCTCAATGTATGCTATCTTCGGGATATCTCTGGTGGCTCGAGGTTCAGCCACGGGATCATCCACCAGTTGTTTTCGGCCCATACATCGTATGCCTTCAGGTCAAGCGGTTCGAAGACGGTGTCGGTGTACTCCCGAAAGGTGACCTCGTACCATCGGTCACGCATCTCTTGGGCCACCTGGTGTTTTCGAGGCGGGACATTTTGGGCAAAGTCATTCAATTCTCTTGTTTCAGGGTTTGAAGCATCTGCTTAGTCGTCTCGTCTGAGGACAGAACACCCTCCTTTTTCGACACGGAACATTAACCTTGTAGCACTCTGAATCCTGCGCACTGCACGTATTGATGATGATGTGCCTGTATTTACCTCTTCCGCATTCCTATTCTTATACTCCCGTTTCGTCTCCAAGCGAAGGCACGCTGCCTGGACATTTCTCCCAGTGGATAGGCTGGCCCAACCATGCAGTTGCTCCTCGACCTCCCCCGATTTCCATCCCAACTTGTGTCCCAGGCTCTTTCGTATGTGGCACCTTCAATCCTGTACACTCTAGAAATGTATGTAGCTTTTGACCATTCTTGCCTCTATCCACACATTGCCTCTTCAGCTGGACGTCAAGTCGGTGGATCTCGTTCGTCCGTGTTTCTGCACATCTCAACCTCGATCACGGAATCCCCAACAAACAAAAGTTTTTTCGTGCATCGACCGAGCATACCCGTCGAGATTTGCAATTGTTGCGTGTTGCTGTCGCACATTGAGCTAGTCAGACCTCGTAGCAGTTGTGTCGGAACGCCTCTACATTACGTTGAGGTGGCCTTACTTGTGGGTCGGTCTTTGAGCACATCCATATCCCTTTCTCTAGGCTCTGGTTCATCTTTAAACGCCCATCTTCTGTATTTTGTTTGTGCAGGCTTCCAAGGTCTCTAGGTATATACTGTCTCTCGCGTTGCTCCTGCTTCCAATACTCGCACACCTGTTTCTCGTTTTTTCGTCGTACGCGCCTTGGGGCGGGTGGTGGAAAGGGGAGGGGGGGAGGATGATGGCTGATTTCAAAGGGAGATTGATGGTGATAGGAATGCTAAACACTTGGGGGGGGGGGGGGGTAATTGTGGGAGAGAGTGTGTTATGTCGAGGGAATTTTTGTGGTGGTGGATGTAGGGTGCTAAACCGTACACCCACCCAGCGCTCCATCCAACGAAATCGTTTAGACTCGCGCGAAAGCCACTCGTTCCCCGAGCTTCACATCAGTACGTAGCGTCACGGAACACCAAACACGCAGCACCACGGAAATCGTGTCCAACCACGCAGGCGGGACGACGTTGCTTACATCGGGCAATTCGTCGATAAGGTTGTTCGATTCTCGTGGATCTTGATCGAGGTCGAACAGGTAGTCCGAGGTGGCTTCGTCGCTGCATGTACCTCCATCGTTGCACGTGCCCCCGCACACTTTTGAGAGGTCTGTCAAATGGTCCTTCGCGAGGGAGAACAACAGCTTTGTCTGTTAAAATCATGTCATCACTGCTGTTTCTCGGTTTCGGCGTTACGGTACATTATGATGACACACGCAATATAACACTCGTAAGGTTCGAAGGGTGAAAACCGTAGAGCCGTAAACGATGTTCGAAACAACAGCGTTGCAGTCTCTCAAACAATTCAGATTTCACACAAGGGGTGTACAAAGAGGAATACAGATGTACTCGCAGTACAAGTATCGCATGGTTAAATGATGAAGGTGTAATGCCGTACGCAGAACAAATCACCGGTGCCTCGACGACACCAACCGCAAAAAGCTTGAAATCGACCACTCTTTGGATACTATTTTCACCTCTTCGAGCATGTCCCCGTCGAAAGTGTACCACCCATGGCAAGAAACGTTGAACATCATCTTGTACTTGCCAGACCGGAAGGCTCCTTGAGCATACCCCGTGTCATAGACCCTGTAATGACACAAGGAGCACCAGCAGCAGTAGCAGCTGCAGATTTGTACATGGCCAAAAACGGCGATCGCAACCATTCGATTTCACATAAAGGCATATTTCGCCACAGAATCAGCAGCTAATGTTGCGCATACCATCATCGGCGCGCAGTTTTCTCATCCATAGTACGTTTTGCCCGGTGCCGGTTCTCTTGATGTTACCGATCGGATGGGATGCAAGGCCTTGAGTTCCTCACATCGGCAACAACGAAAGACCGTTAGAATTCCGTGGCAAACAGCCGTAGCGGCAACAGCACAAAGCAGCAGCAGCAGCAGTCGCCACAACAACAACGCCAGTGACAAAAGTCGTCGAACGGCTCAGCGGCCACCGGGGCGCTGTCGCTACTCCCACCGCCACTGTAAAATATCTCTTGGTAGTGTAGGCAAACGTCCTGCTCTGATGTACACCATTCCCAAGACTTTTAAACGCTCCACTGTCTTAATCCAGAAGCGCCCTACGCATACTGTAGCTCGCTTCTTCATCAATAATCAGCATGTTAATCAGCCAACGAACACTCGGTACACCCCACAAACGATGCCTCTCGCAACTCAACAAACTCCCCACGCTCTATTGAAATATCGAAACCCCCAAAGCTATAGGCGGAAGGCTCCCGATTTCTTCATGAGCCCCAGAACTAGCGAGGTCTCAAGGCTTGGCACCAACCAGATGGTGGACAGAGGGCGTCACCAACCACTTTCTGTAGGTTATATGGCTGCTTGAGCTGCTCAAAGCACCCACAACGTCATTGACTCGGTTCCCACGGTTCGCGTCACAGGGCCGCGCCACGCCGCACGGAATTACCTCATGAGTCAGCGTATGGGGCACCGTGTGATGGACGCGGAAAATACTGTGTACAACGGTTCACACGTGCCCCGCCGTTGTGGAATGATGAACACCGAGACCAAGACTCACTGGTTGCTGTTCGGCAGCAGGCGGTACGGATCGTAGTTGTAGAGAAGCTCAGTTCGCGGCCTGCCCCCGTCCACTGCCGCCGCCGACCCCACGATGTGCTCCCATTGGTTGACACCGTCTAGGGGCCCGGCGCTGAATAGTTCCGCCGTCGCCCCGTTTGAAGGAGTATGGTACAGGAAGCAGGTGTTGATGAATCAAACGTGCTGGCCCGTTTCTGATGGCTTGAAACCTCGCTGTAGCCAGCCATAGAACCATCTAGGGAGAAAATGTAACCAGCCAAGAGACATGCGATCTATATTCCTCCTCGCGCCGTATTCACCACGCTTTTGGCCCGCACGCTGCTAATGGCCGGTTTGTGTTTTCCGCGCCAAATTTCCCGTGATTGAATCCCTATTTCGGCACGTGAATCCCGCTGACAGCCTGTGCCCCCACCAATCATTGGTCTCTCGTTTCGCAAGCTATCCGCAATGGTGGTGGCAGCACAAAGGATTAAGGACCTCTCGGACAGAACGTTTCTACACGCACGTTGTCAATACTAGCCGAACACCATACTTTGGTACACCTAGGTGTTTCACACTTACCTTCCCGACATTTCGAGACCCGCCCCGGCCGCGAGTGTCGGCAGCCAATCGGTGACGTGCATCAGCCCGTCGTACTCCGAGCCCCGTCGCGCCTCAGGGATGTGGCTTGTCGAGTACACGAACGCGGGCACCTGAAGATCGATTGGCACCAGAAGGAAAAGCTGAACGGACGTGTGGCAAAGAGTCACGGAAGGCTTGAAGAACGTTCTGGTATGAGACTACTGCTGTAGTCACAGGGTAACATCAGCATTACCGTGATCAGAAAAAATGAGCACTTCGAACACCGTAGATGTGCAGGGTGGCGAGTTTCAGTTGTCGGACCTCCGCTTGAGGGAGAACAACGCTACATCAACAAGACGCAGCTCAACTTGATGGAGCTAAGCACCAAGAACTGAGGGAACAAACAAATAATGTTGGTGTGTTAACCTAAGAGTGGTTGAAATGGCCGCGAAGAAGACATGCAAAGCCCGAACATGTTTTTTCTGAACGTGCCTTGCTGCCGCCTTCCCAGTAGGAGGCTTTTTTCCCCCGAAGGGGGTAATTGCTGCCACCCTCGTTCGAGTCGCCGCCGTTGTCACTGGCCACCACCACGATTGAGTTCTCCATCCAACCCTCGTCCTCGAGGTAGTGTATCAAATGTCCGACGCTCTTGTCCAGAAACATCAACACCTTTCCAGTGAGTGGGAAAACAAGTAGCGATGCACGATATGAGGAAGAAATTTCACACATTGATGCCGGTTCACCCCACGATGAGGGCTAGTTTCATCACTTGGACCGATGTGCAGCAGGTGGAAACTTGACCGCTCTTTCGCCACGGCCATGGATGTTCTTTGCCCATCCTTGCTCCTCCAAACTCTCGAACAGACCTAAGACCATGCGGTCCAGGCACATGACGTATTTGCTGTGGCACGTTCATTGTTCTCTTTCAGGTGGCCACCTTCTCGTGCCCGACTCCTCTTCTTGAGCAAGCATTACGTTTTCGTCCCAATATACCTGTTGCTGTTGCTGTGGTGGTGGTGGTTGTTGTTGTTGTCGTTGGTGGTGGTGGTGATGTCAGCATCGTCGTAGTGTGTTGTACGTCGACACATATTCACAACTCAGACGCCTCTGCGTAAGGGGGCGCCCCGAAGCATGGACCACGACACATTCAACTGCTTCGACGGGTTGGGGCATCGCGCTTCACGTCCGTTTCATCAAAATATGAACTACTCCCGAGATAATTGCCAGGGGTATGGACCACATGCAAGAAAAGAGCGCTTTCGCACAATAGGATTAAAACAAATCAGGACTCAGGTAGACAGTAGACAGCATGCGGGGTGTCGGGAAACGATATAAAGCTCATCCCACCCCTGAAACATGCATGATGCGTGTCAGAAGGAGTCTTCGCGCAAAGTTTTAATGGTTTCTTGGTTCTCGGCGAGCATACACGGGCAAAAACATTATTTTGTATAAACTTCTGTCTTGCAGGTAGAGACAGGCAGACGCTAAGAATCAACAAACTATTGCATCACCTCGCTGTATCGGCGAATACACCGCGGTCCCTCATTGAAAATACTCAATCCGCAGTTCGTATGGCGGCTTGCTTCTTCATTCACCCGTCAGATGACTGACCCTAAGTTTGGCATCCTCTGACGGCAAGTTGGACGGGTTTGTACCAAGGAAGGAGTACAGTGGGGGCTCCCAGTCGTGCCGGTATGGACCAGACCAGTATTATACCGGCACTTGTCAGAGGGACTCGCACTATTCAAAGTACTAAATGACCTGGTGATTCCCTCTGTGCCCACCCTAAACAACGGCACTATACCGGGCGTCGGCACTGTTTCACCGGCACAACTGAGGGCCCTTGTCTGTGTGTGTATGTGTTTCGTCCTGTTTATCATGGCGACAGTTCCCCCATTTTTCGTGGTGAGACGTGTGTAGTAGAGAACTACACTTTTCCGTGTATTTTCTCGTACAACTACAACCATCCAGGGTCACACAGGAGGGGGTACACACCAGGGATTTTTCTTCCTTTTATCATATTTTCTTGCCCCACCTTCCTCCTGCGGTGCGTGCTGAATTTATTATTATCGCGAGAAGGGTCCAGTCGTCCCTTTGCCTCGTCAACGGTGCTAACGTCGAAGTGCTGGTACTCACGAGAGCTTTTTCAGCTATATTTCGCTTTCACCCGCAAATTTTGTAAAATTTTCGCCCCATATGGGAATGCGAACTCACGACCTTTGCGACTAACGGTTTTCGAGGAAACAACTTGACCACTGGGGCGACCGGTTGTCTGTACGATAGGTAATCCTCACCTCGGTCAAGTGTCTTCGCGTCTGCGCACCCTGTACATCGCCGATCTTACCCTCGATCTCGTCCAGAAGAAGCGTCTCATCCTCCGAAAAAGAGTCTGGCACAGACAGATACGATGATGTGTTCACAATGTCTCTAGTAGCTCGGGAAAAACACGCCGTGAAACCACACCCTTTCTCGGCCAAGATTAATTTTCTGATCGGCAACTGCTCCCAGAATGACAACTTCAACAAACGCTCGATACCACACAGTGCACCCGATGTCTTCGAGGAGGAAAGGAAAGGTGGCCTCGCCCGAATGACGTATGTATTGGTGTGCGAAAGATACGATAAAATTGTAACCACGAGAAAATCTGCACAGTACGATGCCTGGATATTGAACAGCGTTTTGCATGCAATTTGTGTCTGCCCTGTTGCGACGAGCGCTTAGGAGAATCAATTTGTGCCCGCTTTGGGGCCGCAACGTTTCCCCGCGGTCCAAACCATAAGAGCACTGCGGTTTGAGCCCCCCGTGAAACGACACATTCATTCGCAAGAGTCACCTTTGTGCCTCCACAGGGCACCAACCTGAACGCCTCCTTGCCCTTCACCCAATGCCATATCAATCGGCCCGGTTACGAATTGCGGGGATGATGTGTGTAGCTAATATTCAGCTCATGGTACTTGATAACATCCAGCCTTTCTTGCGTTAGGGTATGGAAGACTATCTTGAACAGAACGCAGCCCACGCGAGACAAGTCAGCAAGTCTCCGGACGGAGTGTGACGGTGCCGGGGGTGAGTGTGTGGGACGTGGGTAAGCCATAAGGAATGCTATCCCGGCACAAACGCGGGGTCACCTGCGGGGGGCAGCCCGAGCGGGGAATGGACCGCCTGGTGGGCCAGATGCATGTAGATGGGCTCTTCGTCGAAGGGGGATTTCGTCTCCAGGATCTGCTTTTAAGCGGCCAGCCAAAAACGAAAGAGAACCATCCATCGTGTATGGTCAGCTAACGGGGACCAGAGTTCGTATGGAGCAACTTTGCTCGCCCGAACGAACAACAAACACATGCCACGTGGTGGGTGCACGTTCCGGACAGCCAAATCCGAAACAGCCGCGTTCCCTTGGTTTATGATAAAGAAGCCACACGTTTGCGACGGGAAAAACAGCACAGAGTGACCTCCCCAAAATGCCGTGTGTCGCAGATAGCGTGTCTCTGGTGTTGAATACCCCTCAAATCGTGATAAAAAGAAGCGGAGGAAGAATAAGGCTTCCCTCTCAGGAGATACGAGCATTGTCGACTATGCCAATAGATACGGTGTCTTGCTTCACCTCGATTGCCCTCTCCTGAAACATCTGTGTCGAGTACTGCTGTCCTTTCATGACGCCGCTGTTCGAGCGAAAAGAGGATGCCCACGGCGTTTTGGTGGGAGTGGTGCTGTGCACACCTTCACCATCACCATCGTCTCTATTCTCCTCCGCTTCCTTCTGGTCTTCGCGATGGTCGCTGCCGTAGATGTCTTGGCTGCTGGGTCTGTCTATGATGTCGTAGTATCCGCTGGCATTTCCGAAGCCAAAATCGCAGACGTGCCTTCCGTCGCTTATGACGCCAACCGTCTGTAATCAGAGCAGTACGGGAAGAACAGAGCAAACATTGGCAGCATCGCAAGAGTCGTTGAGTAAGATGTCGGTACCAAATTCACCTCCGGGTATTATGTTTAGCCACGCAAATCATGCCGACATAGCCGCATAGAGCACGTGTTTTGAGGGGGAAATGCACGAAACGCCACAGTTTCAGAACAGGAGCGCGACAAAACAAGGCGCGGCACCAGAAGCCCCACGATAGTGACGTGCAGGCGGGGCCATGGTCAGTAGGCCGGAGTCTGGACGTTTGCCGAACGGCAGTCGTGTTTCCGTTTGTTCTACGGAGGGAGGAAGAGAACGCCATGAACCTTGCTTCTCTGGCTAAGCGGAAACCGTAGAAATGACGGACGAGAGCAATCTAACAACAACAACATCTGCCTTTTCCGTTTAGCATTGGTGGTGCAACTGCACCTCATGTGTCCAGTACGCCTCGAAGCCCCCCACGTAGCCCATGTACGTGTCGAAACCCCTTTGGCTGGGAATATGTTCCGGGCTATGGCTCCCCAGATGCCATTTGCCCACCAGATGCGTCCCGTATCCGGCCTCCTTAAAATACTCTGGGAGCATCTGTTTTTAAAGGTGGATATTGCCGCCGGTGTCAAAACCCGACCTCTCGGATGCTCCAGTACTGAAGAATGCCGACCAGTAGATCAGATCGGAACTACCAGAGCCTTCATCATGACAGGCGCTGTGTATGCTTTCGTAAAGCGTGATTTATAACATGCCTGCAACCTTGTGCGCGTTGAAGACAGACGCGCGCACGTGCAGCCATCTAGCGCACAAGGAGTTTCATCGTTTCAGTGAGGACCCTCCCTGCGTTTGATGGCAACATTTCCGACGCTATTTGTGTCCACTTTTTGGGAGCAACAAGAGGCACCTTTTCGGAGAGGGGAACACCCCATGGTTCTCCGGGATTTATGGCGACGTTGTACTGCATACCGTACCGCACGGTGTAGCGCCCGGTCATCAGACTCGCCCTCGCCGGGGTGCAAGTATTCATGGTGTAGTAGTTCGTGATCTAAAACACGTCAAGCATTGGAGCAAACGAAGATGGAGGTGATTGCAAGCGGGGCAGGGGGTGGTGGGAATGGGCGAACGCTCGATGACCGGCTTCGAGCCAACCTGGAAATTCTGATTCGCGCATGGTAGACAGCAGGGATGAGACAATCTGTCCACCGTTGGGCCGACGATTGTTCCCTGCTCGAGTTTCGGCACGTCATGGCGGCCGAGATCAGTCACGAGCATGTCCTCCTTGATTCGCCTCTAGTTTTACGTCTAACGCTAGGGCCTGGCCCCCTCGCTACGCGGGCGCATTCGCGACGGGAAAAATGTCCACGGTGTGTATCTGACGTGATGGTAGGTTGAACAGCTTTTTCTCGCACGAGAGGGCCCGCAAGGCGTGGCTGGGTGATCGATGACGTGACATAGCATACATTGCACCAACAACATCATTGTCGTCGAACCTTGAATGATGTAGGTCACACGAACAACGTGCGGGGATACACCCATCCTTCCCGATATGACTACCTCGCAACCTTGCACGAAAAGGCAGGATTCTGAAGAAAGACATATGTGGTACACGATACTAAGTACGCGGATACACGTGAAACAAAGTACGCCAGCTTTTTTTCGATGCAGGCTCCACGCCGGTACGCTGAGAGCCATCAACCCTAGCACCATCGCCTGTTGTTGTACGGACGCGTAAACCTCCCGACCCCGTAGCCTCGTCACGGCACATCTCGCCGATGGTACTCAGGTTCACACGTTGAAGCCCTCACTGCTGCTGCTGCTGTGGAAGACCTTTTTATTCGGAATCTGTCTTTTGTGTTGCCGGACGGAAAAAACTAGCATTGTGAACTGAGCACCTATTTTTGAGATTCTTGAGTTCCTTACACACTCCCAGGTGGCGCGTGCGGTACAGGTAAATGTTTCCAGAGAGTCTATTGAGAAGAAAACCACCGTCGGCATACTTCAATAATCCTATACATCACCTTGACCCCGCCGGCAGCAAGCTTGTCGAGGACAGGCGTGACCCCCTTGAGGTCGACGCTCTGGTAACCTATGTCGTCCCAACCCATGTCGTCGATCATGATGAAAAACACGTTTGGCCTTGTCTCAACCACCGCCGTGTTGTCAAGGCCATTGTGGGCAATTCGCCCAGTTATCTCGTCAAGTCCTGCCGTAAAAGTCCGGAGTCACGATGAACCGGTTAGCCAACAGGTTGGAAGCCCCTTACAACCTACATTAGCCACCTAGATTATAAGGTAAACTCTTGTACACAAATAACGCTCACTTCGACAACAGGTCGGGTGTGTTTGAGTCGTGTTCTTTAATTCAGATTTTTTTATTATTATTATACAGAGTCCCCATCCCCCCATCATTTTTCGTGGTGAGACATGTCCTACACCCTTTCAGGGTTTGTAGAGTACTCACTTTTCAGTGTAGTATCGTACAACTATGTACAACAATCCAGCGTCACACAGGAGGGGGTCAACACAACAATGTATTCGTCACCCTTTTGAGTCAAAACATCACGGGTTTCGCCAGAGGCGTCAGCCACCCCGCCTTTGGTTGGTTGGACCAATCAATCAATGCAGAACTGCACAAACAACAACGTGGTACGTACGTACGTACCTCTGGCCGCGCCCGTGCACGCACACGCCGTGATGTTTCTCGTCACCAGTAGACTGGTACGGGAATTCGAGACCACTGCTGCTGTAGCACCAGACTACTGCTGTAGACTACTTGTACACATGTAACACACAGATATCGTGGACATCGTGACACCCAAAAATTACATGCAGCCACCGTGCCACCGTGCCACCGTGTCTTCCGAAAAAAACGAAAACCGACGCGGACGTCCGTTATTTTTCACAGCGAGAGCTTCATCATCATCTACAATACGGAGGCGTGGATTCTGCAGGCGATCCTCCCGGGGGCGTCGCACCAGGCGGAACTCCAATGGGTGGGTGAAACTAGGGCTACCTTGTCGTCACGATACTTGAAGCAGCTGAGGAGGAGAAAACCGTTCGTGTACGCAGAATATTTGGAACCAGCACCACCGCTCAGAGCCTGTCCACAATTCTGTACATACTACGTTCCATGGATGGGATGGATGCCGTTCGTGGTGATCTATCTACCTTGCTGATTGCTTATTGCCTTCTCCGGCGTCTTCTGCTGTAGCAGCGTGGTCGTGGATGACCACGACAGGATGCAGACCAACCCGCCAACAGTGAGAGTGATCATGAAGGCACGGCCGAAGAACCCGCGCCTTCTCCTTGGATGCCCACTGCTGTCAGCTGCGCATACCTCCACGCCTGCACCTTCTCCGTAGCGCCGGGGCTTTGGTAATCGGGTGACGCCACCAAGGAGAGGAGATCCCTCGTGCGTTGCCATCGGTGGAGTCTAGTGACAATCGCGTGAAACCGGCGCCGCGCGCACCAACAAAACGTTTGTGTCCAACTGCTTTTTTGATACGATTTCACCTATAGAGATCATCTCGGTTTCAAACTTTCGAACTGGTTTCTTCCTCTTTCGAAGTTCGCAGTGTACAGAGCCAAGCAACGAGGTCTATTTACACAGAGGGCGTAAAAGCCGTTAGATAGGAAGAGTCACTAACAGACTGCAAAAACTGCTGAGGTCTATTTACACTCTGTTAGTGACTCTTTAGGACTAACCGATGTTGCACTTTGCAAGGCTAGGTTCCTCACGCGAGCAAGGCTAGGTTCCTCACCCCACATCTACCCTAACCCTAACCCTAACCCTAACCCTCACCAAAGCACGGCCTAGCGGCCGCGAACTGGTCGAGAACGCGGCGCAGCCGCGTTCTCGGAATGCGGAACGGCGAGAGGGCGCTGGAGAGGGTCAAGGCTAGGAACCAACGCCGGACCAATCAGAGGGCGTAAAAGCCGTTAGATAGGAAGAGTCACTAACAGACTGCAAAAACGAGCAAAAACTGCTGGAAGCAACCTGCACGCAGGGTCGTTCGGTGCGGAGGAAATTAAGGAATAATAAAAACAAACCGAGCCTGTTACCCGCCACCCGCCACCACAGGGGAGAATTAGACATAGCTGTGTATGCGGCTCGGAGAATCATGGTAGAAGCAGCACCGATTGGTCAGCATTCCCTTGCTTGATTTCTCACGGACTCGTGTCTGTGACTTGTTTCCAGAGAAGGGGTCGTGGAACATCCAGCAACAGACGTCACTGGTCGTGGAACATCCAGCGCAAGGAGAGGCGGGACGCGGGACCACAAATAAAGCGTGCCCCCATGTGCCCCCATGCCCCCACTCACTGTATTTTTTTTTTTTCTTAATATGACACAACGTGTTTACATCCTGCAAGAATCGATTGGATGAGGCTTAATGCGGCAGGAGTCCTCGCCTGATATATATGTCACCCCGAGCTGAGAAAAGAGCACCTGGTGTGTAAGAACATGGGAGGATTCCGCGTGGTCAACCTTTGTTCACTTCCCTACATTTGTATGCATACTCGTAGTTCTTCTTTCGGAGCGAAAATATGAGTGAAAGACTCTTGATGAGATCGAATCCATCCGTCAGTAGTTTTTGCAGTCTGTTAGTGGTTCCATGGTGATTTGTTTCCAAATTTGAATCTTGTTTCCAAACTTGAATCCACCCGGTCCATAAAGTCTAGTCTATCTAACGTCGGGTACATCGGAGAATGCATTATTTTATGCATACCGCGGGTAACGTTAGGTAGCTCGAGGTGGAACGCCCGTACTTTGCTTTGATACCACTGCTTGCTGCTGTAGACGCAATCTCTTGGGCGGACCCAGCACGGAAATACATGGGGGTGTAATGTACCTTGTTCCAGCTTCGCCATGAAGCTTGCGTGCGCGTTCTCATTGTTCTATATGTAGCATGCATCGTATCAGTCAGTTTCTTGGCTGCTGTTGCGGTTTTCACATCAAGAGCGCAGAGATGTTGTTGCGTGATATGGCAGCGCTCGTTCTCTTTCACCACGATCCCGCAATTGAGCACAAATCAGTTGTTTCAGGCGCCTGTAGAGAGGAGAGGGCCCCAACCTATCGTTTTCGATTGGCATGTGGATTTTGTATGTACCTTGCCATGGCTCAATGCACTCCATCCCAGTTAAGGCTGTGCTGTGTGTTCTTCGCTGTAGTTGGGCAAACCTAGGGCATTCTTCCTTTCGAAACAAGCAATCGGTTCTCTCGTCAAAGTGCTGATTCTCCCACGGTCCATCATTGAGGAGGTGAAGCGACGACGTACGGCACCATCCACCGGTGCATTATATGGGGCCCGCACCAACGCTGGAGGAGACGACGACATGGGCAACGCGGGGGATGCACAAAACTGGCGCCTGGCCATGACTCCCTCCCTGTAGAGGGACGGACTCAACATCGATGGCCCCTACGAGCCCATCGTTCTCGAAACGCTTACGCTTCCATGCCGTCATCGTCGTCCATGTATGGAACGGAGGGAAGGTCCCGCAAGAAGATGCCACCATCAAGGTGGTCTACAAGGAACTCGGACCGACCCAAGTGCAACAACTGCAAAAAGCATATCCCCGGTGGGGTTTCATTTTTGTCACTCAGGAGATCGCTTACATACAGCTGTTAGGAAGACTACGCTAGGGAATAAATCGTTCCGTATGGACCTGCAAAAACCAGCGCAGGGAAGACATCCAAACGCACGTCCTCACGCTCGTCTGCGCAACGCTCTAGACCACCCACCTCCCCAAACTCGCATTACACTAATATACACGCACAAGCCTCAGCGTTGCAGTCCCTATTGGGCTGGGCTTCCAATCTCTATTATAGTACTGGGCCCCCTTCGCCATGGACATCACCGACGAGTCGCCCTCTGCTTCTACTCGATGTGCAGCGCGCACAGCGAGCTCTTGAAGCGGCTCTTGTTGCCGTCGGAGCCGGTGTCTAGCTTTGACGAGTACGACACGTAGACGATGTTGTTGGCTTCCTTGTCGTAGAGCCGGCGCACTACGATAGACTTGAAAAAACTGTGACATGGTAACGATCAAGGAGGAGGAGAGGGACTTACATTAGCGGGCGCGGGAAGGAAGAACGGTGGGGTATCTGAAACGCTAGCCTCGAGAGATGATGAGCGGCGGCTGCCCTCGTTTCTCTTTTAATTGGCGTGAAGCAGTCGAGTTGACATGCGCCCTGGGGGCAGGAAACGTCGCATGAACCGGGAGTATAAAAACTCAAGAGAAGCGCGACACGCTCGCGGATCTGATCTTCCGTAAACTACCGCCATCATAAACATTCCTGGGCGTGAATGGGCGGTTCGGCACAACACCTCCAAGCCCGCACCCACTCAACACCAGCACGTGCCCAAGGAAAAAGGATGCCATATGTCAGGGTCATCAGCTCCGACATCCTAGGGTAGCGAACGACGCATTTCCGTCCTCCTCAAAACTTCGAACATTTCTCGACCGTGCCGTTCCTATTGATCGACGACGTGCAGGCTTCCCTGCAGCCTCTCTATACCAACGGATAGCGCGGGCAGACTCCCTCTATAGGGTGCTTTGGGTACATTGCCACCATTTCGAGTCGAAATCATCAATACCTTCTCCTGGATCGACTTCCGACAGCACAAGGTATGGCCTCATCAACAACGGCATAAAATCAAGCACGCTACGTTCCCAACCGAGAGAATGCTCTGTTTTAAGGCAGTCCTGTTCGATGCATTACCCCGCGTTGTGGGCACCAAGCACGGATAAACCGTACGTCGGAACCACCTCCCAGAACGAGTAAGGAAAAGGTCTCGGGCGCATGATATATCCACGCGCTAGAAGCAAGCGCGGAGGATTCTAAGCAATCCAATCGCCACCGTGAAGTGCTTCGAAGGTTCATCGGTAACGTATGCTAGTGTTGTACCTGCGGTCTTCCTTGAACAGCTCCTCCCCTTCCTTGGACGTGCTGATGCCGTCCTTTACCTCCATCGGCCCCGACCGCACGCAGAACAACGCTGCCGAGGAAGGGTCTGCACGTCGTCCAGCCCACCGGCAAGACGTACAAAACGTCCGATAACAATGGGGCAAGTGCGATGGGTGGGTGGACTGGTGTGACTGCTGCTTCGGTTTGTGATTAATGGAAGCTCAGCGGGCCTTCTCGGAACCCTCGGGTTCATATCGAGAGAGAACAACACAGAGAGGCTCCAATCAAGTCGTGGCGTAGCCATCGTGTATATAGCGTTGGGCAGAGCTCGGTAACCAGAGGGCGCCCAAGTACGCACCATCGTATGCATAAATACACCGCTCTTGGCGGCGAGATACGAAGAAAAAGACATCCAAGCACTCTAATACACAGAAAACACCAGGTGGCACCCCTCTGCGGGAGGAAGTATCGATGCGGTTTACCTGAAAAAATGTCCCCGTTCATGAGCTTATCTGCCACCGGGCGGGCAAAATCCGACAGATAGAGGGTTACTCCCTTCACCTTGGGGTCAGAAAACGCCTCCACGTTAAGCTTGTCCTGTCAACAAATGGGTTCACACCGCGGCACAGAAACGGCTTCACACGTCAACCGACAAAACACGCATGAAATATATCTTTGAACACCCTTTCTTCGTGCTCATGGTGACTTAGGTACGGGAATCAAAACACATGTGGGAACTACGGTCCTCTCGGCAAGCGTGTACAGCATCCCTGCGTGACAGCTGCTGTCCCTGTAAGAGAGAGGGTATGCCCTTGATGACCATAATTTAGGAGTCGAAGCACGCCCTCACTCATGTACTTGTGGTGTGAACAGGTTGAAAGTTACCGGGATGTTTTTCGAGTCGCGGAAGGGGCCCACGTGGGGTAGGGGGCAGGAGCAACGCTCAAAAGCCCGGTACTTCGCCGTTGCAGCAGTTCCACGTAGTAAGTCGCGGGATGGTCAAATTTAGAAAAATCACACCACCCCGGCACGTTCCGTACAAAGAAAACCTCATGTACCGATCTTGTCAGAGCTACATAACCGTGATGGCTGGCTTGTCAACTCGATCGGCCAGCCGGCTCACCTTAAACACCAACCCGCTTGCAGAGATTTCCCCGACCGTCCTCTTGTCCCCGGCGCTCGCCGTGCCTGGCAGGGATAGCATCGGCCCCGCAAGGGTCAACCCGATCGCTGCAGACGTTAGTGCCGCCTTTACGCCCCGGGCAAAGCGCGTCGTTCCTGAAGCTGCTCCCGATTGTTCTCCCTCTTCTCCTCCTCGTGACATGCTCATGGTGGGGGCGGAGTTTCGCAGCGACTGCTGGTGTTTGGGCGGCATTTGGGGTAGAGGGAGGCATCAGCACCACAAGAGGCAACAGCGCGGAGGAAGGTGTGAATGCAAATCGTAAGCAACATATTCGGACTTACTTGATCCACAGCTCCCCTTCGGGAGTTAGGCGGCTTGCCTCCCGGGGGCGATGCAAGAGTACACGCCCTATGTCATCGCGGTCGCATCGTTGCATTTCAACGTCATGACATTCGGTAGTAAGTGGCAGTTGAACTTGCCTGGAATTTGCATCACGTGCGGCTTTCTTTTTTCTCGCCGTGACATGTGCGTGAGTGTGTGCTATTAGGCTAGTGGTATCTTTGCTGCAGGTCCTACTGCTGTAACCTCTGCGCTTGATCACTCGCTCTTATGTATTCGTGTTGCCCATGGTTCGTGGGACTTGTGTGCGTTGCGCATGAATCAAAACAAAAGTCTTCCTGTTTATGCAAAGCGGTGTTTCTTGTGTTTCTTACGAAGGTTTTCTTCGCGAGAAAGACGTCCCCCGGATATAGAGCCAGTTTTTTTTTTAACTTTGGGCGTGAGCACAAGCGCCACGGGTGGCTGGCGGTCCTCGGCGGTAATGTACCGACGATCTCTCTGCGTGCCCCTGAGGAGGAAGCGTGAGAAAAGACTCGCTTCCGCCAGCAAAAGATGTCCCGAAGCACGACAACAGGGGAAATGGTACATATACATATGGGCTAGTTTGCCATGAATGTAGCAAGGGTGTGTGATGGTAATACACAGACCGCTTTCGAGCACAGCAGTAGTTGCAGCCGGCAACCGCTTGAGGGATTTGATCTACTTGTACGCTGCTGAACAATCCAACGCCAAAGCTAGGAAGCCACGCGAGTTTGCCCCTATCACAATCTCCAGCTCTTCATTGCGATAACCACGATGCACCTCTGGTGCTGGCAGGGCGTGGAGTTGTCCGAGCCTTCGGCCCATCTGTGGATGTGTGTTGCTTGTTCTGAAGCTAGTACAGTCGAGGTCCCTCTATAGTGCGGGTGCCCGGTATAATGCGGGTGAAATCGCTTGGCACAACTTAGACCCCTCTATAGTGCGGGTGCCGCACTATAAGAGGAACCCCGGTATAGTGCGGGTTTGGTCGATCTCAGAAACCTCTATAGTGCGGGTCTGACGTCATGACGGCCTAAATGCGCGGTCAAACCCGTCGACAAGTTCCGCACAACGTACACAAACCTACCCCTAGCGGGATACTGTATACTGTACCCCTACTGGCCACGAGAACAGCAGCAGCAGAGGCGCACGATGCCATGTGCAGCAGGCGAACTCTGCCATCTCAGCACCCTCACACCTAAAGCCCCCGATGGTCACCAATGCCGAGGAGGATGCGGAGGCAGACTGCACGGCATATGCGGCGAGGTGGAGGAAGAAGGCGAAAGCGAAATGAATCGCATCTGTCATACGTGCTTGTCTTCTCAACAAGCCGCTACGGCTGCCACGGGCAAGCGGAGCAGACGGATCAGGCGGATGACATGACGGCGGCCTTGAAGGGCTTGTCGGTAGAGGGGTGGGAGTCCTCGGATAGCGAGGAGGAGGAAGAGGAGGAGGATGACGAGGGCGGAAACATCGGAGGCGGGCGTGCGGAGCCACCGCCTTACACGGAACTTTCCCAACACTTCGCGTCCCTAGAAAACTACGCGGCAGGGTGTGGTTTGGACGAGGCCAGCTTCTTGCTCAAGAGGGCGCGGATGTTGATGATCGAAGCGCATGCATCTAAGCCATCTCGTCAGACTGACGTCCGGGCGTATTTTGACGCGTAGATCAATGAGAGATATTTTGCTGCACGTATGTGTTGCATGAATTACTGTGTGTCGGGATTATTGCGCCTGTGCGAGTATGCGCCTGTTCTCTCATTGATCAACGTCTTCTCCCCTGTCTTTTCTCCGCGGGTGTCGGCTTTTGTTGTGTTCCTTTATGCACGTGGACTCACTTGTTCGCTTTGGAATGCTTGTTGGATAATCTCCTGTGGCTTTCATCATACGGTGGTTCCTTGTGATTGTTTTTCAACGTCCACGGAGCCGTCGATGCACTATAAAACAATGGGACACCGAACATTAACATTTACAACGTGTCGTGGACCAAATATCCTCTCGGCTGTACAGGATTTTGTTTACACCGCTGCTTCACTGCTGAATTTGCACCACGACCCACGTGTTCTCCTAATACCATTGAGCAAACTCGGGTTTCTTTTCCTGAGGCGGCACTGATACCTATTCAGCCCCTTGTTGGTTGTATGTACTACAGTGGCACCTTCATAACCGTCGTTATGGCCTATGTCCTACCCTTTATCCTAGTAATATCGCGAATAGTGCGCATACCCGCACTATTGGGGGTTCTCAGAACCC